CTGGACGCCCTGGTCTGCATCCCCCCACAATCTATGAAGCTTATTGCCTACTGAAATAATATGCCTTACCTGATCCGGTTTAAAATTTAAATTCTGTGGCATCCTGATATTATCAGAAGGATTTAGCCACTGAATCCACTGCCTGGGTCCATCCCCGCTCCCAGAGGTGCTCCAGTGGCCATTTTCTCAAGCTGGAAAACTCCCGGCTTCGAAAAGAAACGCACTGAGCGCCCCTGGGAGTGCGGATGGACCCAGGCTGCATTCAGGCAGCAAATTCAGTGGCAAAATCCTTGTGATTATATCAGGATGCTGCCTACTTTAAATTTAAAACCAGATCAGGTAAGCCGTATTATTTAAGTATGCAATAAGCTCCTATGTTAAGTTCTACACCACTCTTCAGCAAAAGGATTGTAGCAGCTCAAATGCAAGTCCTTGTTCTTGTATGTTCACAGCCTTTATAGTTGTCTTTCTGGTGCAGAAGATAAACACCACTGCTTTTCCCCAAATGTCAAGTAACTGAGGGGCTATGCAGACAAGTAGGAAAAGGTGACCTGAAGTTGCCTTTTCCCTAAGCTGCAGCAGCCGCACTGCCTGCCCTGAGGTTGCCCTAAATGGGGACAGAGCAATTGCACTGGGGGGAATCAATGCAGCTTTTCTAAGACTGTATTGAAGCCCCAGCAACCGCACTGCCAGCCCCAGGGACGCTGCAAAGGGAGACAGAGCAACTGCATGGACCACCAGCGGCTGCTTTAATTTTTTTTCATTCTCTCTCAAATGCATTCACATGTGCATGGGAACCTCTTTCCACACCTGTGCATCTGCGCAGGAAAACATCCCTGCACACCTAGCACAGGACCTCTACTAGGCCAGTACACAGTACTCATACAGCCACATATCATACAAGGATTTGCTGACCTCCGCTTTCCCCCAAGGAGTGGATGCAGTAGATAGGTGCCACTTTCTGATTGTGCCACCCTTGCGGTGAAGGAACAGGGTTGTCAACTGAAAAGACACCTACTCCATCGTCCTCCACAAAACATGTC